TGGCTTTTAAATGTTAAATATATTCGTAGATATCTTTAAAGCATTGCTCACGTATGTTAGGGCCATCAAGGAAGCAATGATGAAGTTTGACACAGTATACTAGGCGATGATGTAAACCGGTTGATAAGATTGAATCTCCTTCGACTATGTTGTTTGAAACATGTATCATGTATATCTAGCCACCAGTGCGCGATCTTTGCTCTTCAACTTTTAGGTTGGGAGAAGTTAGTGGCGATCAAAACAAAACGTGGCATCTGTCTAAGAAATCACTGATTTGTTTAACTTGGATTACTAATTTTTTCGATGAATGTACATGAAATTTCATCAAATACTCATTTTACAAGGTGCATAAATTATACAATTGACGTAAATCAATGGATACGTTATAACCCACTACCATCTGATACCCATATGTATGATATGATTTTTCATCCTATATAATCGAATCATCATCTCTTTTCGATGCTTTGGGCATTGTTTTTAGGCTAAATTAGTCTATCGTTTTGGCTACCAACCAAACCATATAACTAATCTAACAAATCACTCCACACTATACAAACCACTCCCTAACAAAAACACATATCCATATTCTCTACACCAAAATACTAACATATAAATACACTTCCCTCCCCACACCAAATAAAACCTCAAAAATACATAACAAATAATACACAAATCTCCAATCACTCCATCAAAATTATAAAATTCCCATACAACATACACACCACCACCCACACACCCAAACATTTCCCCAACCCTTCAAACTCACAAATAATTAATAACTCCTAATAACACACAAAACCCCATAATACTTCCTCCCATCCCACAAACCATACAACACATCCCCTACAAACAAAAAAACACCCAAATCCCCCCTAACCCCCAAATCATTAAATCCAAATAAAACATTATTATTTCATCAACTATCACCCCCAAACCCAACAACCTCTAAAAAATTTACAAACCCATAATACAAAACCCTCACACACTTCACACTTAACTCCTTACCCACTAAACCCTAATTAAACTACCAAAATCAATATAAAAAAATTAATTTACTTATACATTAAAATTCTATTAATACTCAAATAGTAACACTAAATCCAAAGACAATCACTACTCTACTAATCCCCAAAAAATAACACCCTTACACAAAATCTATTCAACCTTCTACTCCTTAATAGTATCATCAGTTCCTACATCTAAAAAAATCAATTTCCCTAAATACTTGAAACCTTATACACCTTTAATTACATACAAAATCACACCAACAAGAAAAAAACAAAAATACCTAATACCCTCTCCCCCCCTGTATACATTTATCTGATCATCTCAAGATTTACGTGAGTTACAATGAAATTTTCAATTTGTAGTCTTAAACGTACTCATTTCAATGCTAGTATATTTTGTCGTTTGAATTGAATTAACACTTATCCCACAAAGAAAAATAACGTTTCCCAGTATGGTATATTTGCAATTTCGCTAACGTTATAACCCTGTATATCACTATCAAATCATGTAGAATTATTGCCCAATAATCTTTATCAAGAAACACATCGAAAATAAATCTATATGGTTACAAGCATAATTTACAGATATTAATAAATAAACGAACAAAAGAAATAAGATATTCCTATTGGGTTTTCTTATTTACAATTTTAAATCAACTTCACATATTTCTTCATAATCTGGAGGAATGTTTCCACTGGTATAGCCAAGTCTAGCTAATAGACTATTATTCTTATGCATAGTTGTAATAAGATTTCTGGGTATTATTGAATTACTGTTAGACCAAGCATATAAAGATTCTTTGTGTATAGCCTTTACAAACTGAACTGAACTGGCTTCGTATCTGAAATGATAGGTAAAAAAAGAAAATATCTATCACACAATGCAGAGAAATTTGTCATCAAGAATCGCCACTTGACTATTTAATTTCAGGTATTAAGAGTTAGTTCAAGTTTTCTCATATGAACCATCAGAATGTGATGTGGATATGTAGGTCAGCTTGTATGTATGACTATATAAAATAGGTGTATATTCTGTGTTCTTTTGAATACATAAGTGCATAAAGAGTGCTAAACTAGGCTTGAGTCGGCAGTGCTCTGTGGCTTTCAGTCGTCCCCTAGCTGATTCCACACATTAGTTCAAAATACCTCCAGATTTTAAATATCCCGGTAAGTTTTGCTTTATTTGTAGTTAGGTTTTGATCGCAGATAGATATAATTTAGGGTGCAATTGAAACTCAAGAAACTGAGCATATTTGGTCCTAATATGATATTCTTCAGGAGTGCAAAGCTTTGACTCTAAGTCTTGCAGTGATCCCTTTATTTTTAACCTGTGGGTTTCAAATTTATCACGACAATCATCCGATGCCATTTCTTCTTAATGGTGTCTCAGCTAATGTCGATTCATGACAAAATTGATAACAGATTAATCCATTCTAAAAACCTAAGTTCCCACTTTCTCTTCTTTCTACGTGTTTCTCAAATAAAAAGTTGCATTGTGAACAAATCAAGTTATTATTAATGTAATGATCCACTTAGTACGGTAGAATTTCAATAAATAGAGTGAATAAACAGCAGATGACATTTCTAACGGTAATTTATTCGTTATCTGTCATTTGTTTTCATAGCCCTCTAATTATTATATATACATGTTACAAATTAATTAAAGGGGTATTAAGACGCATTGGATGCAACATAATAATGTGGGTATCGAACAAATACTTTTGTTACCAATGCTCCCGGAGAAGAGGAGAGTAATAAAATAGAGCTTTGTCATTAGCCCTAGATATGCTTTATCTGATTATACAGTTATCTATTCGAAGACACGTGTATTTTACTGTCATTACTACCTTTGTGTGCTTTGTAAGACAGATTATGTTGCATATATTTAATAATTTACCTTGATAACATTCCACATCAAAATTCAAGTGAGAGTGATCAATGTACACATAATATCGTGTTGAATAATCCAAATGATGAAGGCTTTTGGTTAGCATAACAGAGCAGCTAGATCAACTTGATCCTAATAACTTCAGGTAAATCACAATATAAGTGCCTTGAATGTTTAGTGAACACAAATTATCGGTGATCCACTGATATGATGTTTAAATTGAGATAACTATGTTACCCAATGAAGAAACTAGCAGAGAAATTTTGTAAATCAGAACGACCACTCAAGGACAAAGAAAGAAATCCAACAACTGAGATCCAAAAACAGAGGAATAGGTGACCAGAACGCTTTGAGGAACTCTTGAATAGGCTAGCTCCATTGAATCCACCAAGCATCGAAGCAGCAGACACATTCCTGTGGATGTCAACCCACCAACGATCGAAGAAATCAGGATGTCCATAAGACAATCAGGAGTGGGAAAGCAACACGATATGAAAACATACCAGCTGAATTCGCGTATAGAAATAACTGCACATATGCTCCACGTTCGATTCACGAAGATTTGGGGGGGTAATAACTGCTGATAGACTGGAAAAAAGAATACCTCAGCAAGATACCAAAGAAAGGAGATCTGCGTAAGTGTGAGGACTACAGAGGTATCACAGTAATATGGGTATCAGGAAAAGTTTTCAACAGAATGTTGTTGAACCGGATGAAAGATTCAGTCGACACCCAACTTCAAGATCATTGTTGATAAATGAATTGAATAGAATTCGTCACTGTACATCATCAGATTTCTTGACTATGAGGCGTTTGGTAGAGTGGATAGGAGAACTTTATGGAACCTTCTTCGACACTAGGAAGTGAATATCTGAGAAAACCGTCAACACAATACGGAGTTCATATGACGGAATACGCTGAAACGTCGTGTATAGATGACAGCTGACAGATGCATAGGTAAGCGTAACATATATCCATCATTACTTAAAAGCATGTTCACTAAGACGCGTAAACTAATGTTGTGCGGCTGCACTTATGCGAAGAAATAACTATATATATTCCGACAGTTGTCGACTCTCATGTTCAAGTGGTTATAAATAAACTAGTTTCATAAACCATGTGAGGGAAGGCATGGAATACAGTGGACAGTTTGAAATCAACCAGACGATTTTAACTTCACAGATGATCTAGCCCTTTTATCCCACACACACAACAGCAGCCTCTGCACCAGTTGGCCTCAACATACACAAGATTAAGAGCAAGATCCTCAAATACAATGCAGAAAACACCAATCAATCACACCCGATGGAGAAACTCTGGAACAAGTGAAATGTTTCACGTTTCTGGACAGCATCATCGACCTACAAGGAGGATCGAATGCAGATGTAAAGGCGAGGATTGGCAATGGAAGGGCAGCATCCCCACAGTTGTAAAACATATGCAACTCAAAACTTCTATCAGTCAACCAATATCAAAGTCACAATCTTCAATACGAACGTCCAGATAGTCCTACTATACGGAGCTGAAACGTGGAGAACTACTACAACCATCACCAAAAAATGTACAAATATTTATAAACAGTTGTCTACGCAAGGTACTCCTTGATCGGTAAAAGGTGTAGTTAAGATAAATAATTAACTGATTTGACGTGATTGAGTAGTCGATAAGCTTCGAAGCTTGTTTATTATAGTCGATTAAAGATTTAGAATTTATTCAAAAAAGATTAACGAGCAGACTTCTTTTTAGAGTTCGGTTATATACATCTTTGTTTTGTCTTACTACTAACATTTGTCTGTTGAATGAAGATTTAAATTTGCTCCCACCTAATTTTGTTTGGTTAGTAATGTCATGTATATCGTTGTCTTCGATCAGTTATAATTCAAAGCTTAATATAAATAATAACACAAAGTTACATTAACACTATTTTTGTTAGGTTTTTCGAATTTTGATTTCCAGCAATAAACTGCATATAAATGAACACAGACCAACAATATTCAGATGTTTAATAACGAAATTATTTGATCATAATTTAGATTATTATTAACCTACTTATTTATCATAGAAGTTTCATTAACATATTTTTCATGATTCAGTAGTTTTTCATCCCATGGAAGATCCAGAAAATCTTAAAAAAATCGAAGCGTTAGATTTAAACGTATAATTATAAAGATAACAACCATTTCTCTGACAGTGAAGTAAAACATTAAATTCTATATTTACATCAAGATGTAGTTAATTATGTTAGATTAGCCTTTCATCTTTATTTCTTAATGAAGTTTGATATATTAGGATAACGAATTATTAGTGTGTGCTTTTTAAATATTTCAGTACTGATTCAATCCCTTATAGGTATATAAGCTGTTAGATTTCGTAACCAAAGCCATTTTATGATGAAATTAGTCTTTTGGTTAGATTAAATAACATTATCAAAGAATTCATTACAAAACTCATATTGAATCAAATATAAGAAAAGAATTCATTTTAGTATCGAAATCATCCCTCATTATCAGCCTTAAAATAAGGAAATCCATTATTATTATTATTTCACACCTTTCTAATGAAACCTTTTTGTTCGTGTGAATCAAAGTAATTTTTTAGCATAGTTATCTGTAAAATATTCATGTGAGCATGTGGTCAAGTTGAATCTTACTAAGGATTTTTTGAATCTCTCTCTTTGGTTTTATGACAAGACACTCATAACGTACAGTCATACATCGATGAATTCCAATGTGTTGGCAGTCTTCTATCATTTGTGATGTATAGGCCGTCCATTGGTTAAGTGCTTCAGGAATATTATCCGAAGTATATGTTGGATTTATTCTACGGCTGAAAAAAAATAAATAACACCAAGCTATATTCATAATTTTTAACACGTTCACGTCTTCATTATTTATTGACAGATGAATTATTAACCAGTCAAAGATAACAACTTGTAAATCTTAATGAAAAACTAGTTACATAAAAATTTCTACAGAAACATTCCGCCTTAACTAAATATTTGCGATCAAGAGACTATATTCTTGGATGAATTAATCTCATAGAAAAAGCATCAATTAAGTTATTGTAGAAAACTGTCCTAGTAAAACAAATCTCGACAAATATTATGACCTGATTCATTGTGAATTATAATTCTTCAGCAACAAATTTCGATGAACCCCATGTGTATAAACACTTGAGTTACAATTAAAATGTAATTGTACTTAATCCTCCCTGATATATATATATATATATATATATATACGTGTCTTCGTTTACACGTTTTTCAGTAATGATGGATATGTGTTCGGTTTATATATGCGCATACACAAGTGATTAAACGTACATTATTGTCGACATTATAGCTCCTCTTCCATCACGTACTGCATGAATGAACTTAGCTTTCGGAAATAATTCACTTAAATACCTTAAATATATGTAAGATGAAGGATCTTTATGACATAACCTATCAGCAGGTGGTCCCATATTCTTCAGTATTGATACAATGAAACCAGCAATAGCATTATCAAGTACACTTTGTGTGACACCAGATTGTGAAAGCCGATCCTGACCGTTTCGATTCTTCGGCCTGAGTTTTAATATTTGTCTTGTAACTACTGGTTCTGGACCACATCGAATCATTGGATGAACATCCAGTAGAACACGTAATAATCCAGTACCTAATAATTAAGGTGAAAAGAATAAGCGATAATATAAACGTGCCAGAAGAATTATTATAGTTATGTCAATGATTTATGTTCAATTTGACGAAAGAAAGAACAATCGACGTAACAGAATAACACGAGTTCTCATCAGCTGCTTGCAATATAAGCATAATAGTGTTAATCAATAAAAATCAGCTAACATACTTGACACAATAATATCAGAAACGTTCTCGTCAGTGTAGATCAATGCAAAGAGAAATAAGTATGGAAGAACTACAATAGTTATTTATATGCTAAATGATTTGAATATTTATAGGTTGAATATACGAATATTCTAGAATAAAAAAACTACGAGTAAAGCATCAAAATTAGTTAAAAGTGAAATAATGTTATTATCATGTAATCATTGAAACAAAATTAACTAACTGAGTAAAGATCAGATACGAATGAAGATAAATGATCATTGTCATGAGGAAAGTTCCGCAACAAAAAATTATAGGTGATGGTAAAACAAGATTGATAACTGAATTCTTTCGGATGAATAAATTCGGTCTAAGTCTTTTTAGGCCGGGAATTTGTCGACATATGACCGTTTTAGTGAGTGACTTGTTTGATACGGAAAGATTAACTTGACAGCTAGATTCATCCATTTTGTTAAAGTTTTTAATGCGAAATCAATCTTTATAACTATTTCATCACCCTTGAAGCTTCTCAACCATAGGATGCTCCATTTCTTCCTCTTTAGTCTTCCCATACTTGAGAGCAAACATTATCTCATGTACAACGTTCAACAGTGGCTCATTCCTCATCAGTGCTTTCTTTTGAACAAAATCTAACACGACGGAAAAGCGTTCTAACAAAGTCTCTTTTTTGGCTTGCTGGACAGAAACTATTAAAGTTTAACTTTAGTCCATTCCATATGTTTTAACCGATAAATATATCATTCTAATCGAACTTGTATTACGCTTCACACATAACCTGTTTGCAAGAGAACTGATAAAATTAGGTCAAACGAAGGTCAATATATTTACATTAATCTCACTGTAATTCAACCATTTAATAATTATGCACATACTCATATGTATGGGGCCGTTTTTATGTTTACTAACCAATTTCTCAGTTCATTTACTGATTGTAAACGCAGTCAAACAACTCCGCCTGGAGTCCCTCCGGGGGCTACTGCCGGTCCCAAGCCCGGATAAAGGAGGAGGGTTGGGCATGGGGTTAGCGTCCCCATCCCGTAGAAAACTAACTCGCTAAAAAAACGCTAACCAGAGAAAATTATTCAAACCTTTTAAACTCTGCCCTGGGAGTTAGAAGGTCTTCATTTAGAAGAATTATGACGCCTCATGATGAAAGCCGAATTCCTTCGGAAGTTACGAGGCCGATGCCCCTTCTGACAACCAGAGCGACCATTTATTTAGGTACATGGAATGTTCGTACAATGTGGGACACCGGAAGAGCCTTCCAAATTGCTGCAGAAATGAGAAGATACAACCTAGAGGTACTTGGGATCAGTGAAACACATTGGACACAAGTTGGACAACAACGACTAACTACAGGAGAGCTCCTGTTATACTCCGGCCATGAAGAAGAAAATGCACCACATACACAAGGAGTTGCATTGATGCTGTCCAAACAAGCGCAAAATGCACTTATAGGATGGGAATCTCATGGACCAAGGATCATCAAAGCCTCGTTCAAAACAAAGAAAGAGGGCATTTCAATGAACATCATCCAATGCTATGCGCCTACCAACGACTACAATGAAGACGCTAAAGATCAATTCTACAATAGGCTGCAGTCAATCATCCAGAAGTGCCCAGCAAAGGACCTGATCATTCTGATGGGAGATTTCAACGCCAAGGTTGGAACGGACAACACTGGATATGAAGACATCATGGGACGACACGGACTGGGAGAAAGAAACGAGAATGGTGAGAGATTTGCAAATCTATGTGCCTTCAATAAGCTGGTCATAGGCGGCACAGTATTCCCACATAAACGCATACACAAAACCACATGGACTTCACCGGATCACTCTACACAAAACCAAATCGACCATATTTGCATCAACAAAACGTTCAGGAGGACTATAGAGGACGTGAGAACCAAGAGAGGAGCTGGTATAGCATCAGATCATCACTTACTGGTCGCCAAGATGAAATTGAAACTCAAGAAGCACTGGAAAACGGGGCGGACAATATCACAAAAGTTCAATACGGCCTTTCTTCAGGATACTAACAAACTGAACAAATTCAAGATAGACCTCAGCAACAAGTTCCAGGCCTTTCATGATCTACTCAATGGAGAAGGAACTACTGTGGAGAGCAACTGGAAGGGGATCAAAGAGGCAGTCACTTCAACATGTCATGAGGTCCTGGGTCACAAGAAGCACCACCACAAGGAATGGATCACTGTTGATACACTGGATAAGATTCAAGAAAGAAGAAACAAGAAGGCAGCGATCAATACCAGCCGAACAAGAGCAGAAAAAGCTAAGGCGCAAGCTGAATACACGGAAATAAACAAACAAGTGAAGAGAAGCATCAGAACCGACAAACGTAAATATGTGGAAGATTTAGCAACGACGGCGGAAAAGGCTTCAAGAGAAGGAAACATGAGACAATTGTATGACACGACAAAGAAACTCTCTGGAAATCGCCGCAAACCAGAACGACCAGTGAAAAGCAAGGAAGGCAAGGTAATCACCCACATTGAAGAGCAACAAAACAGGTGGATAGAACACTTCAAAGAACTCTTGAATCGATCAGCCCCAATGAACCCACCCAACATCGAAGCAGCACCCACGGACCTCCCAATCAATGTTGGCCCACCAACAATTGAAGAAATCAGCATGGCCATCAGACAAATCAAGAGTGGCAAAGCAGCAGGACCGGACAACATCCCAGCAGAGGCACTAAAAGCAGACGTAGCGGCAACTGCAAGGATATTCCACATTCTCTTCAATAAGATTTGGGATGAGGAACAAGTACCAACAGATTGGAAAGAAGGACTTCTGATCAAAATACCGAAGAAAGGCGATCTCACCAAGTGTGATAACTACAGGGGCATCACTCTTCTCTCAATACCGGGAAAAGTCTTCAACAGGGTATTGTTAAACAGGATGAAGGACTGCGTGGACGCCCAACTTCGTGACCAACAGGCAGGATTCCGTAAGGATCGATCGTGTACAGACCAAATCGCAACTCTACGGATCATTGTGGAACAATCAATTGAATGGAATTCACCACTCTACATCAACTTCATTGACTACGAAAAGGCATTTGACAGCGTGGACAGAACAACACTATGGAAACTTCTTCGACACTACGGCGTGCCTCAGAAGATAGTCAATATCATACAGAACTCATATGATGGATTACACTGCAAAATCGTGCATGGAGGACAGTTGACAAAGTCGTTCGAAGTGAAGACCGGTGTTAGGCAAGGTTGCTTACTCTCACCCTTTCTCTTTCTCCTGGTGATCGACTGGATCATGAAGACGTCAACGTCTGAAGGGAAGCGCGGGATACGATGGACATCTAAGATGCAGTTGGACGATCTAGACTTCGCAGACGATCTGACCCTTCTATCCCAAACGCAACAACAGATGCAGGAGAAGACGAACAGTGTAGCAGCAGCCTCAGCAGCAATAGGTCTCAATATACACAAAGGGAAAAGCAGGATTCTCTGATACAACACAGAATGCACCAATCCAATCACAATTGACGGAGAAGATTTGGAAGATGTAAAAACCTTTACATATTTGGGCAGCATCATTGATGAACAGGGTGGATCTGATGCAGATGTGAAGGCGCGGATCGGCAAAGCAAGAGCAGCATATTTACAACTGAAGAACATCTGGAACTCAAAGCAACTCTCAACCAACACCAAGGTCAGGATTTTCAATACAAATGTCAAGACAGTTCTACTGTATGGGGCGGAAACCTGGAGAACTACAAAAGCCATCATCCAGAAAATACAGGTGTTTATCAACAATTGTCTACGCAAAATACTTCAGATCCATTGGCCGGACACTATTAGCAACAACGTACTGTGGGAGAGAACAAACCAGATCCCAGCGGAGGAAGAAATCATGAAGAAGCGCTGGAAGTGGATAGGACACACATTGAGGAAAGCACCGAACTGCGTCACAAGACAAGCCCTCACATGGAATCCTGAAGGTCAAAGGAAAAGAGGAAGATCAAAGAAAACATTACGCCGAGAAATGGAAATAGACATGAGAAAAATGAACAAGAATTGGATGGAATTAGAAAAGAAGGCCCAGGAGAGAGTGGGTTGGAGAATGCTGGTCAGCGGCCTATGCTCCATTGGGAGTAACAGGCGTAAGTAAGTAAGTAAGTAAGTAAACGCAGTCAAACAACAATTCACTGCAAATATATGCATTTTGACTGATATTCAAACAACACTACACATTTAGTGTGATTACTAACGTGTGATCCGTTGGGCTTATATACTCCTAATAAAAATCGATCCCAATTTGTCTCGTAATCGATTTCTGGATTTCTCGAGTGGAGAGAATTAGACTAGATATGCATACAATGTTATAAGGTCATTGAACTTCTTCTTTGAAGTATCAGTTTTGTTTGACTGGTAATGTGACTATGTGTTTCTTAGTACAAACTTCCAGTTAATTGCTTGAATATTCATTAAATTGTGTATGAAATACAACTTAGCTAATCAAAATTTCAGGATAAAATTCATCTGTTGTTCATAGAATAACTATTAAGTGACATAAAGTTATACTAAATAGCTGAGAAAGCAAAATTTTTCATCAAATTTACAGGCATACTAAAAGCTTACTTCAAGAAGATCTTATAGAGTTTAGAAAAAAAAACTTAGAAAATATTTTCACTCTTAGCTATCGATGTGGTCAAGGAACATTTATCTTATCTTAGATGTTCTCCCAAATAATAAGCTATGATAGTATGTAAAATTAAACATAATACAAAGTTAGCATACAATCAGTGAAATTTAAACATTACGAATAAATTAATTTAAAACATATCGATACGTAGGATTTACAGTTTTATTTCAAAGTTAAGCGTTTACATTACTAATATCATATGGATAACTCTAAGTTAATAGTTGAAAATAAAGTTTTGTACAATTAACTAATTGTAGTTATAGCAGATAAATTTTAGTCTAAACAGATGGCAGAATGTTCATGTCGATTTATAAACCAAATAATTGATTAATATAGTATGCCTTGACAATTTGAATAAAAGGATTTTGTTTAGAAAAGTTTATTCATGGATGAAGAATACTTTTAGTTTTGTAAGTATTAACATAGTTGATAACAAGCTAAATGACATGTATAGTGAGAAATTAATTTCATTGTTTTATCAATTTCACCAACTGAATTATATTTATTATCATCTTCTGTCTATAGGTTTTTGAATCGTCCTGTTGTTAATATTAAGGACTGGATTTTTATCAGTCAGTTTTAGAATATCTACATCCCGAGCGAATTTTATTATTATTATTATTATTATTATTATTATTATTATTATTATTATTATTAATGGCTTTATTCAATATTATATTTTGGTACAATATAGAATTCTCAGCAATTCTCACAAATATTTTAAGATGGATAGTGGCCAACAACAGAATCCGGGACGCGCGTTACCTTCCATTTAGAACTCATCATTTGGATGTACCTGTATCCCAGTGTTGCTGTTCACTCCAAGACTCAAATCTAGTACTGGTCAAAATTTGGCAATCAATATTAAAAGTGGGAAGATTCAAACACTTAAAAATAAAATAATAATATCTATTCCAATTACACAATTTAGTCGATATTTGGACTCGATAGTTCAGTGGGTAACGTGTCAGTTTTTAAGATTAAAGGTACTGGGTTCGATTCGTGGAGTAAAAATTAGCAAGAGTGTGGGTACATACAACTGATAAATCTCAAACAGAGTGAAACTCACATCCTGGATTCTACTGCTAGCCAATATCTATCTTCATATCAAATTATATTAATTTCAGGAACCTATTATTTTTAAATTGCCTACATAGATTCTGAGGTCTACTGAAAAAAATCATTCATCAGAATAACGAAAATGTCACTACTTATTTGAGTACAATACTTTGTTCTACTGTGGTGAACGAGAGTACAAGTGGGGACAATCGAATGTATTTGAACACAAATTTACAGAATCTCTTAGTAAAATCTGAGAACTAAACAGTAAATATTTCATTTGCAAGATATTAGTCAGTCGTCTCAGACATGACGGTTCCTTCATTTCCACAGCAATCATTCTCTGTTCTCGTTCTCTTTTCTTCGATCTTATTAACCTTCTGCCACCAGGTATTTCACTTTCGACTGATGATACATATTTCATATATCTATCGACATCAGTAGCACACAGCATACTACCTGACCTTAAATGTAAATGCTACTTTATTAAACAAAGTTCTCTTCAGAAAACAAAACGCATTTCATAGTCTCTTTATGCATTGGAGTCCTAAACAGTAATAATGAGTCTCACTAACTATTAAACACAAAAGTAATGGGGAAATCAATCTGGACTTTAGGGATGAAATTATATAATGTTCTTTCCAAACGAAAAATGAAACATCTACTAAACAAAAACATATATAATGTTCAAGATATTTCACTTTTTTAAATCCCCGTAGTTTATTTTACGCTGTTTATTACTGTTAATACTATGATTACAAAATTCATAACTATTATTGAAATTTCTTTCACCTCTGATTATGCATCATTCATGCATCACATACTGAATATTATTAACAACTCTGTCGAAAATATCCAGTCAAAATACTTTACTAACGTCCGTTCAAATAATCTACTCTCATGTCTTTAGTGTTATTTCTGTTGTATCAACCTGATCATATCTGTAAATCGATGTGAAGTCTGTAGTGATTCCCGGAATTTATTATAATAATAGATATTTTTATTATTAATCACTTATGGCATTAAAATACTCGTGCCAGTTAACGCAAATAAGATAATCTGGAGAATTCTATTTCCTAGAGCTATACTCTATTGGTAACACTGAAACATTCGGTCTCGGTTTGAGTTAATGAAAAGAAATGAATATAAAATGTTAATATTACTGTAATTCAGACGAAGAAAACCACATCTGAGCTAATTAACTGCTACTTAACTCATTATGCTTAAAATACAAATTCTTCTAGAAGTATTATATTTACCCTCAGTCACTGATAAGATATGACGTTTATAAGTAGCAAATTGGATAAAGAGTGAAATTATTCCTAAATTTCAGTTTAGAAAAAGGTCTTCGTGCTAAAACAGACACGATTAACTTGAATAATTTAAGTGTAGTGGTGACTTCCGGTGCTCATGCATTTAAAATTTGAGCTTAACAAACTTTTACAATTGTTTTAAATGTTTATAAATTAACTGATTTCGTTTCTTAGGGTCGACTGTAGTAGATTTCTAGTGTTTAACTACCATTAACAATCTAATTAAAGGAATGTGTCCAAAACTAATCAAGTAGTAAACACATTTTTTAATACTTAAATGGAAAAAAACTGTTGGCACTATAACCACATACTCCATCATTCCTCAAACTTTGTAAATTATCAATTAGTGTTTCTTTCTTAAAGATAGGGTGTAAATTACTAGGTTTTAGTAAGTAAGTGTAATAACACTACTCATAAATGAATGACTTATTTATATAATGTCATACTAAATATAGTGGTTATCTAACTTTACCACACCAGTAAACGTGATATGTATGGTACTACCTGTTGGGATATTCAGGAAAATATCCCAAAAATTATCCTGTTAAGCCTAATGCTATCCTTGGACATGAAATGGTATCATCTTATTGGTCAATATTTATTTAACGTGTCATTTCCCTACTGGCCATTATTGTACAATGTTATTTTCTATTTTATGGTACGTTGTGGTCTGCTTGACTGGTATATAAACAAAGTATGTTTGAAATATAATGATTCATATATCCGAGGCTGTGACTTGCGTTCTGGACTCATCTGGCTGGGCTAGACAGGGAAGCGAGACCAATCAGAACCCTAGGTCGTTCTACGTGTTTGCGCGTCTTTGGTCCGATCAATAATTCGCTATCCCTCAATCAGCAGCATAAATATTTTTCATGTTATAACACTACCATTTAAAAAATATAACTAGTATTATAATAAAATTACTTACCTGAACTTTGATGACCTCCAATAAATATCAACGGTAGATTGCGTAAATCGGCATCAGTAGATAATTTCGGAATTTCTTCTAATTTATCAATTAGTTGTGTTAATTCAGGTTGATTATGAATAATGTGTTTTGAAATGATAAATAAAGTCCATATACATACAGAGCATAATCCAAATAACTTTACTGCATTGTTTACACCTGATAATAAAATACCATATATAAACAATATATTTCAATATACAGAAATATTTTATCTTATTTGCCGTAATCTATATTACTATTCAAAAACAAAAGAAGTTTCCAGATGACAGCTAATATTATTCCTGAATAATCAAATGCTTGGGTTAAACTTCACTTGATGTCAGTTGAAAGAATAGTTGATGACACATATCTTTATGCGAAAAGTTTCAAGTTTATCTCATGTAAAATGTAGTACTTTTTGAAAACAAGAGATAATTTCTAATAATCGTATATTCATCAACTACAAACGTGTTATGACCAAATGCATTTTTTATCTGGTCAACATAAAATCAATCATTGGAAAACATGATCACTGAATTTTTTTATAGGATTAACTAAAAATCAAATTTAAAGGTTCAATGATAACAAGTGGATATTTATAATTTAAAACAAATTTATCAGTGTTTACTATTTTAAGGATTATTGAATGTTGCCAGTTGTTAGGATCATCCTTCGGCCTTACAAAACATTTGTTTAATATGATATGAATTTAAGTGATATCTCTGATGATGGTAATACATTTTGTAAATCGTTCCAAATCATCATATCCTAGACATTTATCGAATAGATATAGTTTCAAGTCATTTAATATTATGGGTTTCAAGAAGAAAATATCAAAGTAAGGAAAATAATAAAACCATACCAGTTGTAACTTATCGTAAAACAAATTATTTTGAGTAGTAGTGACCAGTGAATTTCGATCTACGATTAAAATATAACGAAAAATTTGAATTTCTTCATCTAGGTTGTCAGAAATAGCCATTTGTATAGAGTGTCGTTTTCATAAAAAAGGAACATTATTGAATCGATTTTATTGTTGTGAGATTATGAACTAAGGGTTTCTAAAAACCTTCTTTTAAAATAAACATTGTTGTAAGTATGTAATTTATTCCCTGTACATTATTGCTAGATTCTTTTTAGTCGTACCGATTTGTGTATTAAGAACTGCAGGCCAAATTTTGTGTATTTGATTCTTTATTCGATGGTATTCGAACTTTCAAACTGAGCATTACACTTTAACATAGGTTTTGAGTAATAATATGTTTACAATCATTTTGATTTTAATATCGTTTCATAAAATAGGTTTGTATATAAATGAAATCATATCTTTATTGAAACTTTTACAATCTAACATGGTAGTCAATGAATGATCACCAACTATTTAATGACCTATTTCTATCAATTTAAATGACATAAGTATCACAATAATATTTATTATATGCAATAGAAAAGACCTACCAATTAACATATATTTTAAAAAATACTCCAACAAGCATAAATTCTTATATATATATCACTATTACTTATTGCACAGCTAAACCACCTAAAGATATTAAGGTTAGATTATTCACCAATTAGTTATCAATAAGTTCATGTATTTTTAAAATGCAATTTAATTAACATCTAATCTCCTTCTTTAAACAGTGATTTGTTAAACTCGTGACTTTTAATTTTATTTAAAATTATCAGTGCTCTGTTAAAGATCTCAATCAAAAAATTCATAATCTTCACAACTCATACTGATAATTACCATGTGCTCACTAGTGACTAGCTTTGTAAAGAAATTCTCGGAGTTCTAGTGAGAAGCCGTGACCAGTAGAGCTAATCCGTGTGGGCAGAGGCAGCCTTCTACCTCAGTACAATGGAAGATGGTCAAACATTTTCGTGGGTTGGTTGAGGTTAGATGTTAAAATCGCTGAATCTCGGCTCAGTAGTGTAGAGTTTAAGAGTTCACGTGCATAGACCGAAGGCCCTGGGTTCGAACCCCGCAAGTTGAATCGTGGATGTTCACCACTGGGGAGTACCACAATAGTATGAAACCGCCTAACATTAATCGGTCCATGACCTTAACCAAAAATTAAACAAACAGCTTACTCACGTAGATAATAATTATTTCAATTAGATAGCAGTTTTAAACTTAAAATATATTTCGTCATCGATAACAAACATTTTTATATTAACATTTAAGTTTAAATAAGTTGTAAATAAAATATTATCCAGTATCGATAAAGTTAAAAATGGTTTCGTGTTTAATAAAACTAGACAATTATTGATTAAATTCTTAGTAGATTTAGTAGTGTGTACTTATGAAGATTCTCCCATAATTTGATATAAAAAGGCAGGCTTTCAATAGTTCTTCGAATGACATGAATCCGTAATGAAAACTACTCACAAATAGAAAAATACTGTCAAGATCACATTCTTGTAACTTATCATTAAAGTTATTCCGTTTACGTTTATTTTCAATTAAAAGAAATCACACGCAAGAATCTAGTTCAGAACCTTCGATCTCGCACGCGAATCCTTAACCTAAAAATCACTAAGCAAGTATCCGACTCAGTAAATGTCTCACTTAAATCAACTCACGATATTGTTGAAACATGATTCGTTGACTGCAGTGGATGGCTATTTTCATACCCAACATGGATTAAACTTAACTGGTTACAATTCACTAAAACTCTAAGAATTACATCTTATCATGATATGATTTAAAAAAATATCCACAGAATTAATGCAGTATGAATCTCATTATTAGTACCAATGGATTAAATTAAGTAATTGAAAAATACTTACCATTAATTTGAGTACACCGAAACATTTGTTATTATTCTGTCAATGGTTTATGATTTTGTGACGAGAATAATTCTTTATCAATAGTATTTTACTAAAATGTTATTTATTTTGTCAATGATATAACAGTATCTTTATTGGTCTTCTACTAGATTCAATTTACTTGATATACATATAAAGAACATAATAACCAACAATTGTTCAGATGTTTTTGACCTTAAGTTTATTGGTCTTCCATTGAACACAACTATTTATTTACATATTGAAAAAACATTGTTTGTTTACACTTTTAACTCAATTAATTGGAAATATAGACACATATTGTTCTTATATGTTTATCTTCTAATATAACATTGAAGGGTTATACATAAAAATTTCTTTTTTTTTTGTAAATGAGTATATGATAGTGTATCATAAAAGTATCATAAACCCTAAAGTTTTGAGGTAATAAATAAAACTGAGAACAAGTTCACAACAAGAGTAGTTTTATAATAATAATAATAATAATAATGGTAATAATAATAATAAAAATAATAATAGTAATAATAATGATGGTAATAATAATAGCAATAATAATAACAATAATAATAATGAGAGAGATTTTCTTAAATTTATGATAAAATCGATAATACTATTTATTTTTAGAATTCGTTAAAAGCGGAAATTTAATTAAAGTAACGAATTCTAACAAATTTACACTGACTTGATTAATTAGATGTTGTATGTTCTATTTCACAATGTTTGTTTAATAATAATACGTTGAGTTTTTTAGAATTAACATAACCAATTGTGTCATTGAATAAAAATAAAGAGATTTCAGTAAAAACTACTTCCCAATATACCATTGTTAGGATACAGTTTTAATACAAAATACTGAAGAACTGAATTGTATTAGCTAGTACATTTATTCGAACTAGGAAACGATTGTTACCAGGATTTTTACGATAGTTGACATAAGGTAGATGACTAAAATCTATAATTGATTGATTGAAGAATCATATACACTATGAAAATGACCTGTATTTGTTGGCTTAAAGGTAAGAATGACAACGTGAGTTGTACAGTTTATAAAGTCAGTTTATTCTTCACACGTTAAGTGTGATGCATATATTTTTATCGGGTTGAATACAATAAAATTATGATCATGATTGACGACCATGTTCTTGTTAAGAAGTTCTTTTTCAAATTTCAGACCATTTTTACTGAATTACAGTCCTAATGTTGACACTGAGACTCATTCACTAATGTTTGAAACAACATGTACTGAATTCACATCTCAGTGCGGGAATAAACACTGATATATAAGTACAATCAATCGACGAATCCTAAATAGAATAAAACGCATATCCTAGACTCGAGTACTGACCTTCATTGGAATCACTCAATTACTTACTTACGTCTGTTACTCTCAGTGGAGCATAGGCCTCTGACCAGCAGTCTCCAACTCACTCTGTCCTGGACCTTCTTTTCTAATTCTATCCAATTGTTGTTCATTCTTCTCATGTCTCTCTCCATTTCTCAGCGTAATGTATTCTATGATCTTCCTGTTTTCCTTGGACCTTGAGGATTTCATGTGATGGCTTGCCTTATGATGCAGTTGGGTGCTTTCCTCTATTTGTGTCCTATACACTTCCAGCACTAACCAGTAAAAATAATTCAATTCATTGAACTACATTAAAACATATCATATTATGAAGTTAAATTATTAGCTGGTACGTTTGACCATATTACTCTGATTAATTGAGAACGGATGATTAATTAATCAATAATGGAAGAACATGTCTAGTTGTTTAATCAAGTTAATAAAAGAGATATTGAGTGTCATCAATTAATGAATTCCATTTTTTTCTAAAATTTTCGTCATCGCAGAGATGTCGACCACTTGATCATGTTTTACAACACCTCAGTTGATCATTACAGATTTGTTAGATTAATATACGTAACCGTACTATATTAGTGAATAATAATTAGGTTATAATCAATGATTATAAAATATAATTCATTTTTTATGGATTATTGTTTATACATTTTCCACTGAGTAATAACTCTATCATGATAACAGTACTTACTGCTATATTTTTCATATTCTTTAACAAGACTAATTGTTATCACTCAGTTTAATGAAACGTTTAGTTTCTTCCAAGAGAAATAAATACAACGTCAATGTAACTATTTATATGCAAATAATTATTAGCAGGAATATGTTAAATGTCAGTTTTCATTTAATTGAACGTAGGATTCATGTATCCAGAATGATTACTAGCTTTCATCTTATATACGTGCAAAAAATGTTTGTTCTTCAACACTTTATGTGATAAGTTTCAGACTTATGTCATGTGCGTTTTATATCTTTATGTTATCGATGATAGTTTCTAATGTAATCAACGCGATGTAAGTCGATATTTATATGCGAGGATTGGCGTCATGTATATATCGATAACAATCAGAATCGATCTGCCTAGAGTCAGATTTCGGACCACTAAAAAGTCATCTGAAAAAGTTTCTTTTAATTTGATATTCTCTTATAAACTTGTAAATAATAAGGATTTTTTTTATTTACTTGACTTCGAAACAGATACAATAGTAAGGATTCATCGCGTATTATTTTGTGACCATAAAGCATTTCAGTGCAGTAAGTTAAAATGACTATTTCAAAATATGGTTCATAATTGGTGAATAATCAAGAAATTTAAAATACCCACATTGTAGTTTGTGAATAGATGTTTTTAACACATTTTCTCTTCTGGATGATGATTCTATGCTGTAAATTGTTTAATAGACAATTACAATGCTAAGCTTATAATAGAATAAAGATTACATTTTGTGGCTTATTTCTTATTCTGTATGAGGATATAATGATATTTGATTTAAAGTGTCTATGAAACTTTCTTAAATTAATTTATTTATAGCATCTATGATGTAGGTGCCGATTGCTGATTCTAAAATAAGCCTCTATTGCTATGACAATGGGGAAGTTAAAGTGACTTTATTCCAGCATCGCTTTTCTTTTACTTTTAGAAAGTTTACTTAATAAATGTGTTATGTTTGAAGTGGTTATCACTTCACCTTATCTGAGAACGGAATTAAAACTCTGTGATATAACGACCGATAATCTAGCTATTCCGACGTGTCCCAGCCCCGCTAAGTAGAGAGAGATTGTCAAGTTCAATTTCATTTAAGTTAAATATTTGATTATACCTTATTCCATAAAATCAATCTAAAATTATTTCAGTGATACTTCTTTCATAACATTTATTAAAATTTCATTTCACTACTTATTCACATTATGATTAAATTTAAATTAAAACTGTTATAATGCTCAGTTTTACTTTGTTTAATGTTATAACGGCTGGGTTTCCACGTTTACACGTATGGGACGTTAATTTACCTTAGACGAATATCTACACAAGATTCCCTCCCAGTGTCTATTCTACAGGACATCAACACAACTCAGATCAAGAACACGTTATTAGCCTGACCACAACGTAAATATATTTCCACACAAAAACCCGACACAATCCAATAACAGTGAACAATTAAAAATAAATGAGTTCTAGTATTAATAAGGGTAGGGGAATATATAACTCATCTAACACCTTTCAGACTATCTACATGTCTGACTAAGCAGACAAACAATCATTATCATTCTCGCCCACACATCAAAAACTATCTAACAATTTGATCACTACTGAATAATAGTTAATTGAATAATCATTAAAAATATATTGGAAATGAAAGAAGCAGATATACATTCACTTAGTGTTGTTTTAATTGTATGTTCCCACTGTTATTTAGCACTGTGAATTAATCAGTCTCATATTGGTATATGTGCATCCTGTGTGGATGCCTCGATATAGCCTTAAGGTATAAGCGTTTTTTAAGCAAAAATGGGTAGTGGCTAACAGTGGGATTCAGGACGCCCGTTTCGTCCTATTTGGGACTCGTCCATCTTTGCTTAAAAATAGCTTGTGACTTGAGGCTATATCGAGGCATCCGCACAGGATGTAAATATGCCAACATGAGACTGATCAATTTTCAGTGCTAAATAACAGTGGGAACATACAAGTAAAACAATATCAAGTGAATTTAAACTTCACCCCATTGCACAAGCAGGTGGCTATCACGACTCAGCGGGTAAGTGGATAACTCTAAGGCGTTTGAAGCGAACGGTAGTGGGCTCGAGTCCCGGAGTAAACATCAACTCTGGGATGCGGCACATCCAGTTGACGAGTCCAAAATAGGACGAAGTGGCGCGCGTCCTGGATCCCACTGTTAGCCACTATCCATCTTTGCTTAAAAAAAGCAGATAAACATATTATAAAATAGTTCTTACATTTACAGTTGTTATAAACTTCATATGTATTATATAACGTACATAATTTGAATATAATAACATAAATGAAGTGAACTTATCAATGACGATATGCAAATTATTGAATTACCTGATAAGTAATTAGCAATACATTTGTTAAAATTATTTTAACTACTTACTCTAATTTCCAAGTTCATATAGAAGTTGGTAAGGTAAGTATTCGATCAAAAATACAACATTTTATACAAAAATCAGTTCGATAATCTCAAGAAAGTACTAAATTATAAAAAAAAGTTGATTATTCTACACTTAAACAACCACTTTTTCTCTTTTTCTTCAAAAAAAAATATATATATATATATAACAAACATCAAAATTAGTCTAAGTGGAAAGTTTCAATGTTGTATAGGAACAACTACGTTGAATTATTGGGATATTTGTGATAGTTAGTTCATGATTGTTCATTAGCATTAATCATATTATTATTACATAAGAATATATCTGAACTTTATCAATGAAGTATTTGCTTTTATGAATATAATACATATACTATCATCTTCCTGTGAATCTATTTTGAATAATATTACCTTCATTACTGTCATTAATATTTTCAACGTAAACAATTAAGAGAAAAAAATGAATATCAAGTCCCATTTTACATGACTGAAAATATCAAATATAGAATATAATGGAATAGTTATCTTATTTTAAATGTGTCAATATAAATAGTAAATTAATCCAAGTTTAAATATAAATATTATTTGATCTTTTATAGCTTTTATCATACAGACTACAAATTAAACATGATTATTACATGTTTACAAGAATCATTTCTTTTGTTTAATATCATTAATAATCAAAATTGTATGTGAATAAAAATCAAAATCAAAACGCTACCAAATAACTGAATACTTAAGATTAAAACAAACGA